TGGAGTGGCACCAGATCCCCCCAGCGGTGCCCCTGCCCCCAACGAGGACTCCTGGATCCACAGGATGTTGGGCGAAGTCCTCAAAGCCTCCAGCCTGAGGGTCTCCCTGCCGGAGGCGCCTCCAGTGACGGTGTTGCTCCTGCAGAGATACATGGCTGATGGCATGCCCCTGGCTGGTGCCCCCGGCCCAGCCCCCCCCCAGGCTGGTGCCCCCTGCCCAGCCCAGGCTGCTCCCTGCCCATCTTACTTCTATGACATGACTGTCACAGATGGCATCTTCTGGGAGAAGTGCCACCTGGACCCCCAGCTGAACGGCCTCATCCACCAAAACAAGCTCGGCTGTGGCATGCAGGTGAAAATCGCCCAGTGTTCGTACGTGTATAATGAAAAGAGGCTGGGCCGTGGCTTTCTGTGCATTGAACAGCTGGAAGTCCTAGAAGGGCCGGCCTTCACGGATGCTCCCCCACAGCTAAAAGTGTGCCATGTGAAATCCACCCTCCCCCTGAAGGGGGGCAAGAAGCATTACCTTCCGCTGTGGAATAATGACGATCCATGTGGGGACATGTGGGTAGAAAAGACGCCTTTGCGGGAGGTCTCTGTGGATGGTAAGTGGAGGATGGCCAGGCCACAGAATAGAGATGGGGAAAGTTCATGGATGAAATGGAAGCGTAGGGTATCTTTGAATCCCCCTTGGCTGTTTTAGGCTCAGAAAATGGAGTCCTTAGTTGGCAGGGTTTGGGCATGATGCCAAGCCATGGCTTGCCATCCAGGAAGAAGGCCCAGCCAGATTGTGGTTTGAGATCAAAATCAGAGGAAGGGATCTGTATGTGTATGTCTTTAAGTCAGTCTTGACTCCAGGCAATTGCCTGGACAAATCCCTGCAGCTTGGCAAGGTTTTCAGAAGTGGTTTGCTCTTGCTGCATTCTTCCCGGGGCTGAGAGAGAGGAACTGGCCCAAAGTCACCCAGCTGGCTTTGTGCCTAAGGCAGGACCAGAACTCACAGTCTCCTGGTTTCTAGCCTGGTGCCTTTAACCACTACATCAAACTGGCTCTGACAGACGGAATCATAGTGTTTGTTTATTAGAATTATATCCTGCCTTACCTTAGCATTCTCTTCAGTTTCTTCCCACAACAGCAACTCTGTTGGCTTGAGAGATACTAAATTCTGTGGAATGGAACTTAGCTCTCCCCTGTCCTAAATACATAAATCTGAAGTAGCTTTCTATGTTTTCATGCAACATTTAGCTATAGTTTGGTGCCGCATTTGAATTGCTGCACTTTGAATATTTTCTTTAGTAACGCTCTAAAATGAGAACTCCCCCCCCCCCCCCCCCCC